AAATTATTTAAAATGAAGAACATAATTTAAATAAATTAATTACATAAAAAATTAAACATATTAAAATTAGGAAATTAATAACATAAGTTAAACTAATATAGGATCTAAATCTTAAAATTAAATAATTTTAGAATAATTTTATAATTAAAAAAAAAAACAGTTTGTGAACAGTATGCCTCCAATATTGACATAGCACTATTCACGATCGTAAAAATGACGCTAATAATGCTATTCGGGCTGAAAGATTGTAATAGCTACAAAAGGACATTTGCAGTTTAATTGAGGATGCCTAAGATAGCCGTCCCACTAGCAAACAAAGTGGAGCTCAAATGAGATAGAAATGATTTTGTGTGGACACCGGATCGAGAGAACTGTCAGATTTTTTCTCTGTCTATAATAAAATTGTCGCCGCTATAGTAAAAACATAATCCACTGTAATTTTACTGTAGACAGATAGAACACCAAACGATTCTTCTTCTATTCTGTTTACACATAGAATAATTCATTTGGATGAGGGGAAAATTATATGAAGAAATTAAGAGAAAAATCACAACAATAAATTGATGCCATTAAAAACAAGCTGATTGTGACAGTATTTCCTTCATCACTGCTCCATCGAAGTACCAGTCGCCAACAGATTCAGCAATTTCCTGCATTGCCTAATAATCAATATTGGCTGATATGGGATTCAACCATAACACATTAATAGAGCATTTAATGCTCCAAATCTTAGCACATCTGAAAAATTATTCTCTGAACCGACATGTCATGTGGAATACATTCATGCATGACATGTACGAATGCGCATGGCATATACATAACATTCCATAAAAGGAACAATTTCTATCAATATTTAATGAGTTTCTCGTAGATTTCAATATTTCATAGCAAATATCTTCATAGATTTAATTTCTTTGACAATTATTGGGCATTCATATTATTTCACTACTTTCATATAAATTTTATAGTGGATATATTTTGTATTCCTCAGATTTTTTTTATTAACAACAAGATTTTAGATATGACCATTTATTTTTTTATTAATATAATAACATGATAAAAATCGTTTAAAAGAAAAATGTTGCGGCTAGAATATTTGCGGCAATAAAGTGAGTAAATTTTTTACGTATCGACGCATGAATATCTAGCACACAAATATAGAGAGAAAGTAGTAAAACATCAATGTGAAAAGATTTTACTAAATTTTAGTGAATTACACATGTTAACCCCATCCCTTGACTTAGAGGGGGTCTATTACAGTTGTTTGGAAAATTGCTTCGATCGAGCACGAATGTCGAAGCATATTTAGAAGGATCACATCATTATTTGGATGACAAAATGATATTCAAATATAGCATGCTTATAGTTAAATCGAGCGGATTGGCGAGATGAATCCAACGAGTCCAAGATTGACGAATTCTAACATCATTAAAGCACTTAAACAGTTGAAAACTCTCTATGATCGGGGGAATCAATACGAGCCATCCGATGGGGCACTCCGAAATTGCCCCAGATCATCTCTATATTTACAAGGTGTGCCACTCATGAAAATTTTATAAATAAACCCTCACTATCCACATGAAGGGGGGCTTGGCTAGAGATTGGAAGAGCTCCAAGACTTCAAGAGCTCCAACACCATCGCCGGCGAACCCCTGTTGTCAGTTGTCGGACCACCTCTCATTCGTTCACCCCAAAACTTCTAACCGGACACCACCGGACTTCAGCCCGACATTCCTTGGACCACCGCCGGACTTCCACCCGGCCATCGACCAATGCTAAACTTTAGCCTGACTTATTGGACCACCACTCAGCTGTCGAGCGCCACCAGACTTCAGCCCTACCGTCGTCAGACCACCGCTCAAGTGTCGACCACCACCGGACTTCCACGTGGCCACTAACCACTTCCAGACTTCACCCCGACCTTTGTCGGATCACCAACTGGCCGTCAATTGCCTCCATACTTCCACCCGGCTGCTAAAAGTCTCAGGACCTCCGCACGACCTTCATCCGATCATTCCCCTCCAGCTATAGTCCATTTAACCTTCGTTGCCTGACAACGATCCTTCCGATTTTTGTCGCTCACCGACTATGTTCCTTCTGACCTCCATCATCAAACAACATTATTTTTGACCTCCGTCGTCCGTCGATTACGATCCTTCCAACTTTCGTTGCTCACCGACTATGGTCCTTCCGACCTTCGTTACCAGATAATAGTCTTTCCGACTTACGTCACCCGTCGACTACGATCCTTCTGACCTTCAACGCTTGCCGACTACGGTCCGTTCGACATCCGTCGCTAGAACCAGTCTTCCTGACCTTTTTCGCTTGTCGACTACAGTCCTTCCGACTTCCTTCATCAAGTATGATCCTTCCGACCTCCATCGCCAGACAACAATCTTTCCGGCCTCTATCTCCCGTCGACAATGGTCTTTCCAACCTCCCTTGCCCCGCTGACTATGGTCCTTCCAACCTTCTTTGTTGACTCACAATCATTCTAACATTCTTTGCTAGCCAATGATTTTTACGACCTCCGCCGCCAAATAATGGTCTTTCCGACTTTTGTCGTCCACGGACTATGGTCCTTCCAACCAAACGAACACGTCAATAGTGATTCTTTCTATTCCCACCATGTAACACACTCTATATGATGTATATTTCTTACATAAAGCCAAGACCTTCCCTCCAATGAAGGGTCTCATTTGTAATTGACCACAAATAGTAGATTCATTCAAAATGATCCGTGCCCCATGATTTTTCCCTTTTTCATGGTTTTCCACGTAAAAAACTTGGTGTCTCTTATGAATACTACATCATATCTCTCTTATCTGATTGCGTGCTGGATATTCGTACAAAGCTAAGACATTAAAATATATATTTCTCTGCCAAGGTAAATATTCCAAGACACAACACTATTGAAATCAAATAATTAAGTTTCGTATTTGCTCATTTTTTAAATTTTTTTAAACTTATTTCTTAAGATAATTTAAATTTAAAACAAGCTCCTTTTTATAAAAAGCCCCTTAGTTGGTTGGTTGGATGCAATTGCATGAACAAACACGAGGAATGATAAAATGCTCCAATGGAGAATCATTGTAAGTGACAATATGAGCTTTTCCTATGTTTTTTCTTTACAAAATGTTGGCTTATTTATTATGCCACATTTGCTTTTGGATTTTTTTATTCAGTGAACTCTTAATAAAAATTTGCAGTGATAGAAAGAGATATAATTTAACGTCTTAGTTTTGCATGAAGATCCAAAACATAAATAAATAAAAGAGTATGGATGTATCGTTTATAAGAGACACCAATATTTTTATGCGGAAAACTCTAAAAAGGGAAAATATCACGATGTCTGGCCTTATTTGAATGAATACACTAGTATTGTTGGTTGAGTACATATGAGGTCTTTTCTTGGGGGGAAGACTTTATGTTGCAAATACACATGATATAGAGTTCATTGCATGGTAGTTGTTCTTAAAATAGTGTTTACATTCATGGTTGGTCAATTGGACTGTATTTGTGTGTGTCCGAGGTCAAAAATATAGTAATCAAAGGGTGAATGTGGTATGATGGATCACAATGGGCAAGCGACGGTGGTCGGAAGGATTGCAGTCGGCGGGAGACTGTAGTCTGAATGGACCGTATTTGGCGGGCAACAATGGTTGGAAAGAATGTAGTCGAAGGGTGTTGGTGGTTAGAATGGATAGTAGTCGGTGGACGATGGTGGTCAGAGTGGATCGTAGTTAGCGTGTGACGGTGGTCGGAGTGGATCGTCGTCGGCGGGCGATGGTGTTTTAAAGGATCATAGTCAAGCGATGATGGTCGAAGGGACTATAGTCAGGCGACGATCGATGGCAGGGCTGAAGTGCGATGAAGGTCAATGGTCGGGCAAAAAGTCTGGCGACGATCAACTGGCAGGAGGTGGTCGAGGAGGAGTATGGTGGCAAGAGAGTTCCTAGTTTTATCTTCCTCTCTTATCTTCTTTCTCATACTTCCTCTCCCCATTAGTGAAGAATGATGAGTCTATTTATAATTTTTTGGAAGTGACATAATCAATAAACAGAGAGAAGATCGGTAACATATTGGGAGAGTTTCAAATGGATGGTCAATATCAATTATCAACTCCCTTGATTGTGGTCAGTTTATTGAGTATTTAGTGTCTTAATTGTATTAGAATTCAACAATCTTAGGTTCGTTGGATTCGACTCGTCAAGTTGCTCGATTCAACTATAAGCATATCACATATGGATGTCATTTAGTCATCCAATTTATGCTTTGAGCCTTCCAAATGTGTTTTAGGCCCAAAATTTGGACCAATTTGGGCTTAGATTGGGCCGAATTTGGTGTCGTTGGGTTTATCTTTTTGAGATGTTCAATTCAATTATAAGTTTGATGAAATTGGAGTTCGGATAGTCTCAAATTTAATTTTAGAAGTTTTCAATTCAAATTTACCTCGAGATTAATGCCTGATCACAAAAAATATTTGATAACATATCACTCACAAAAAAAGTTTTTATGAGCAATAAAGAATATGTAACCAATAAAATGGTATTAGATGCCTAACAAACTAAATTGTAAAAAAAGTTATATAAAATGAATTCTAAATAATTTAAGGAGGATTTACATACATACTATTTTATATCATATTATTTGCAAATCTAACATTTAATTTTTTAATATTTCATATCTACCACCTATAGATCGAATATGGATTAAAAGAATTAAATACTAAAATTTATAGAGTGATATGAATGATAGAAATGAAATATAAAAAGTTCATATTTAATATTAAGTTTGTTTATAGATAGTAGGCATGAAATATTAAAATTTTAGATATTAAATATGTAAAATGGTATGTATGTAAATCTCTCGTAATTAAATGCATTTAAGTAAAGTGAAAACCAGTCAATCATCCTTAAAAGAATTCAATAGAGAATCCTCGATAAATGCTATCATTTTTTTTTTTGAAACATTTATTTTGATTGAGTGAGCTTCTTATATCAAATTTTGAACAAAACCAAGGAGCCACCAAATTGGAGCTTCAGACGAATTCTGACGAGTATGTGCAGAGTCGAGGAAGCCATCCTCACTCTCCTTCAAGGCTGTAACAGTATGCATCGTCTCCGCAAAATCCATTCTCATGCCATCTTACTCGGCTTTGAGCACAGCTCGGCAGTCGCCGGAAAGCTTCTCTCTTTCTGTGCTACTTCTTCCGCCGGCAACCTCTCTTACGCTCTTCTTCTCTTCTCCCGCCTGCCGAACCCTTCCACCGCCCACTGGAACTCCCTCATCCGTGGCTTTTCTGTTTCCCCTTCCTCTTCGTACTCCATGTCCCTCTACAACTCCATGTTATCCTGTTCCTCAGCTGCTCGCCCGGACGCCGCCACCTTCTCCTTCCTCTTCAAAGCTTGCGGCCAGAATGGGGCTACAGGTAAGTGCAGGGAGGCTCATGGAAGCATTTTTCGATTTGGGTTTGCCTCAAACATAATCGTTTGCACGAATCTCTCCAGGGCATATGCTGATAACGGGTCTGTGGGAGATGCAAGAAAGGTGTTTGACGAATTGCCTGATAGAGACATCGTTTCGTGGAACTCAATGATAGCTTGTTACTGCAGGGCAGAAATGCATGAAGAAGCGTTGAGGGTTTATGAGCAGATGAGGATTGTAGGTTTTTCGATAGATGACTTTACTGCTGTCGGGTTGCTCTCCTCATGTGCACATCTTGGTGCTTTGGAGCTTGGAGTTTGGGTGCATAGGTTTGCTGAAGAAAATGGTTTTTTGGATAGAAATGTTTTTGTCGGTAATGCACTGGTAGATATGTATGTGAAGTGTGGGAGTTTGGAGCAAGCTTGTATTGTATTTGATAAGATGAAGAGGCGGGACACTTTCACATGGAACTCATTGTTGTTTGGGTTTGGTATTCATGGCCATGGGAAGGAGGCAATATTGTTCTTTCAACGGATGGTTATCGCGGGGGTTCAACTAAATTCAGTATCTTTCCTTGGGCTTCTTATGGGTTGCAGCCACCAGGGATTGGTTGATGAAGGTCTGGAGTATTTTCATGCAATGAGCTCTAAATTTGCCTTGAAACCTGATGCCAAGCATTATTGTTGCATGGTGGATATGATGGGTCGAGCAGGGAAACTTGAAAAGGCTGTTGAATTTATCAGGGCTTCATCATTTGTAAGTGATCCAGTTCTTTGGAGGGCATTGTTGAGTGCTTGTAAAATTCATAAAAATGCAGAGATGGCAGAAGTTGCTCTTGGAAATCTCATTGAGATGTCAGCCCATAATGCTGGTGATTGTTCTCTTCTTGCAGGAATCTATGCCTCTAACGGAAATTCTGATGGTGTTTCAAAGATGAGGAAAATGGTCAAGGAGCAGGGAATGAAGACCACTCCTGGTTGGAGTTGTATAGAAGTGAAAGGTGAGGTGAGAAAGTTTGTTGTTGATGATATCTCGCATCTAGACATTGAGGAAATTCATAAGAAGCTGATGGAAATGATCAACAGAGCAATTGCATTGGGTTATCCTGCTGAGAAGTTTAAATTAATTTTAAGTGAAAAATCTCCTGAGATGTATAAGGAGTGGATAGAACATGGAGGAAGTTTCCATAGTGAAATCCTGGCAATTGCTTTTGGACTAGCAAGAATGCCAGAAGGGGCTATATTAAGAATCGTAAAAAACATGAGGGTTTGTATGGATTGCCATATGCTAACAAAGCATGTGTCAAGGGCATTTGATCGAGAAATCATTGTGAGGGATCGTGTGCGGTTTCATCACTTTAAAGATGGATCATGCTCATGCAATGACTATTGGTGATGCTACTTCCAAGAAGATTTTTTTGTCACGGACGCTATCATAAGAAGGTGGTCATTGAGGCATTTATGATGTGATTCAAGAACCTCGACTGAAGACGAGGAAGATATGCAGAGATCTCTGGCAACAAGATTCTAGTAAACATTTTTAGAGGTCTTCATCCAACAATTCACCAGCTTTCTTGTTGTGGGAATGTGATTTAAGAGGCCCTTCACACATCAGGTTGCTAACCTTCAATTTAGGTAAGCTACAATTGGCTTATGGATTGACATAGACCCTTATCAAACCAATAAAAAATACATAATAAATCCTAATCCTAGCATGAGTCTTGAGGATGCAAAAATACAAAAAACAAAATAAAGATGTATGGATCTTCTCTATATACCTGGCATATCTACATCTATAGAATAAATTGTTAGCAATTATTGTCATTTGATTCAATATTTATATCGCAAACATCTATTTTTCAAATTTTACTGTTAAATTTTTTATGGATGTATGGTAGATGGTGAGATTTTATGAATATGTTATAGATGATGGTATATTTTCTTTCATCTCTTTATGCTTACAATAAAGTAACTCATATATTTCTTCCTATCCGATATTCTTTCTATACATCTCTTCTTTGGGATTTGTTCCTATATTCTGGATTTCACTACTTTGGCACTATAATAGATCTTTTAGCTCATTCTCCAACTATATTCAAACTCTTTAAAATTGAGTTCTTTACACCCCGAGAGATTTAATCTAATACAAACATGTATTATGTGTCCTTGTTGTATTTTAGTGACTGTATTATTGAAATGTTTTAATTGGTTTATTTTTAGAATTTATTTAATTATCATTTACAACATGAGTGCTTGTTAGTTTAGGATAGTTTTGATTATAAGCATTATCTTCTAGGATGTTTATTAGAAATAGAGGTCCAAGGGTCTTATAGTAGTTAGACAATGAATATTATAAAGAAAATTATGCTTATCATACTAAAATTTTTCAAAACTTTGAAAAATCTTATGTTGCAACTCTCTACATCACTATGCCTAAAATTATGCTTAATATGCTTATCATGCCTAAAATTTTTCAAAACTTCGAAAAATCTTATGTTGCAACTCTATTTCCTTGTTTAAGTTTTTTAGGTATGCCTCTACGATCTTGATGCGGACTAGAATATACGCGGCCGTAGAGTAAAAAATATAACGTCTTAACAATATACGTATATCCAGCACACCAACATATAATTAAGGGAGAGAAACACCAGAAACTTTTTTACGTAGAAAACCCGAAAAGGGAAAAACCACGGGGCCTGACCCAGATGAGAAATTTCCACTATATCTGGATTGGTTACAACGTTTGATTCACTCCTTTACTTGGAGATGTTAGAATTACAGCAAGTTAATAACAGACAAAAATCTGATGATGATTAATGGACCGACCAAAATAAGGCAGTGGTTGGGAAAAGCTCCAGCGACGGTCAGTAGAAAAACTCAAGCGATGGTTGGCAGGTAAGTTGGGAGTGGTTGGATGGACGGCCGATGTTGAATCCTTTGATCATGAACCGTTTGATGGACATTTGAATGTCTTAGTGATGTCGGAATTCAGTGATCTTGGGCTCATTGGATTCGTCTCGTCGAGCCGCTCAATTTGACTATAAGCATGTCATATTTGGAAACTGTTTGGTAATCCAAATTGTGGTTCGAACCCTTCAACAACGCTTCTCCCCCTTGATTTGGACCCAGGCTCAGATTGAGTCGAATTTGGTGTTGATGAGTTCATCTTTTCAAGACGCTCAGTTTGACTGTAAGTTTACTGAAATCAGAATTCAGATGGTCTCCGATTTAATTTTTGAAGTTCTTAACTTGATTTTGCATCGAGATTCGGGCCTGATCAAGATAATTTTTTGATGATATATCAGATCTAATGATTAGGAGGCCATTAGAATCTCACTTTTAATGCTCTAAGGATTAAAATTCAAAAAATGGTCCAAAAAAACCCCATTCATTCTCCTAGTCAAATTTCCTATGCTATCTCCTCAAAACCTCACTCTCTCTAACTCTACTAGAAAATCTCTATTTCCCTCTCCAAATTGTCAGCCTTCCTCGTCTCGCATGCAATCTAAGGTAAGGGAGGGTTTAATGCCATGAAATATAAGGAGTATGCAATCCATTATCTCTTTATCTCCTTTATTTCTACTCTCTTACCTATTTTCTCTGTCTCACTTTCCCATTAAGAAAATTTGGTTTTCTTAGTTCTCATCTACACAAATTGAGAGCCATCATATCCAAAAGGGAAAAAAATAGAGAGAGAGAGAGAGAGAGAGAGAGAGAGAGAGAGAGAGAGAGAGAGGATACCATGAAGAAAGGAAGAAAAATTGAAGGAGATCAGGGCATTTTAAGAAATAGTTTCATCTTCATCAAGGCAAGTGCAAAGGAGGAATCATCTTCATGAAAGTCACATCATTCAAATTATATTATTTAATTCACCTTTAGTGTTTCTCTTGTATAATTATTTATGTGATTAATATTGTTAGATAACTTAATTGCATGAAACCTTAGATTTTTATGTATAGATCATCATCACTTGATGTCTTATGGGGGCATCTTAATTCATCATCAAGCTCTAAATCATGGACATCAAACTCAAAATCACCATCAGTTGATGTCTTATGGGTTAATTCATATATAAGCCTTTTTTTTAGACATGTCAACCCTAATTTTGATTTAAGATTTTCATATAATAACTACCCTAAGCCACAATTTGAAAATTAAAATTAGAGTCTATTTAGGATAGCTTTCTCATTGCTTTACTTTTAGACTGCAATTACAATTTAATTTGGCTATTGCTTTCCTACTACTTTTTTGGCAGCCTTCTAAAAATTTCTATGGTGAGAAGCTTTGCTTTTTACAACTAGAGTTGGTAATTTGTGGTAGCTTTAAGAAAAAAGTTATTCGTCGCCCATAGTGGTTTTACAATCACCTTTGCAAAACACTGCATCGTCCCAAACAGATTCTTAATAAACTCAACTATTAAAACATTAATTCTTAAACTTAATCTCTTTGATTCACTATTAGGAGTGTTGGACGAATGTCTCTTAGTTATGAATTATAGATGATATTAGTGATTTGAATATACCTATAACTTGTGATTACATTCACATTTCTAAATACTATTGCAAACTTATACATGTTTAATTATAAACCAATAGCGCTTATTGATCTTGATTTAAAGAAGGATTACATAATACTGTTTTTAAGTTTAGATTGGAAGTATTTAGATTGCGAGAAGGTTCTCCAATAAGCTTCATTATTCAAACCTGAATCATATTTCATATTAGTGCACAATTTCTGATGAATACTATAAAAAGTAACTAGAAGAAAAGAAAATGAATTAGATTTACTTATCATAAAAATTGTCAGGTAGATAGTCTTGCAATGTGCTCAAGATTCTAAAAAAAATGTAAATCTCCACTATGCCTTAGATCATTTAAAACCCCATGAAGACAATAGGTAACCAATAAGATCACAAGTGACTAACATAGGGCCTAATAAGTACCCAAGAGGGTTGATGGGGACACATCCAAAATGACTCATCATCTATTTATCATAATACATTTTATACATAATCAGTACATCAAATTATCATGACCAAAAGAAAGGTTTTTACTATAACAATAGAGCAACTATTGTAACAAAACTTTTTTAAGCAATATGATCAAGCTCATATCATGTTATGATTATTCGACAAGTTTTATGTTGGTTGTCGACTACCTAATGTAATTCTATAGTTTTCTCATTCAGGACTTGGGACATAGCAACAACAGTGTTTTATCGGCGTATTAGTAAAATCGAAGTTAGTGACTCTAAAGAAAATGAAGTGTGTTGGGGATAGAAGTAAAACATCTCAATGAAACAAACAAGAAAGTAAAAGCACTCAACAAAAAAGAAAGTTAAAATTAATAACACCAATGTGGAAAAATCCAAAAAAATTTACTATGAAAATTGAGAGAAATAAGTACGGACCTCTCTTCTGTATTATTCTCTCCTTGCTTCTCTTCTCTCTTACATCGTTCTCACACTCAAAATAAAAGTGAAAATTAAAATTAATAACACCAAGGGACACCACCCTTGAGAAAAAAATGCCCAGTCCGTCTCGCAGCGCTGCGGCGCTCAAGCCTCTATCAACAAGATGCTGCAACGCTCAAACCCGTAGCGCTGTGACACCAAATCTAGAGCGCTAAGGCGCTTCACTCACTATCATTTCTCTTTTAAGAAAATATTCAAAACATTCATAATCTTAATCTCTAAAACAAATAAAAAATTATATGTTGAAAATTTTACCAGTGCAAATTTATAAGCGTTTTTCAATAACGAAAATATAAATTAAATCAAAATATTAAAAAAAACTTTGTATTTTTGAATACTAAGTTTGGCATGATGTGACCTATCTTAATCCGGACAACTTTCTTAATTGACTCGACTGCTAAAAATGATTCGAAGTTGCTCAAAACAAATTTTCTCTCTCTAAAAAGTCTCCAAAACCTTCTTTTTCTCTCTCCATGCGGCGGCTGTGATCGAGAAAATGGCAATGGAATGGTGGATTTAATATAGTGCTGCGACGCCCAATCCAAGCACCATGGCGCTAGTTTTAAATCTAAAAAATCTGAGACTGGAGTGTTGCAATGTCATTAGGGGTGCAACCGAGTCAAGCCGGCTCGCGCCAGGAGGTGTTTCTTGCCAGTCAAGCGGAGGAGAGAGAATAGCAGACCATTATCCTTCTTCCTTGTGTCCCCATAGCTTCTTCCTCATCCAATGTGGCGATTATCGTGATTCCTTCATGTTTCTCCCGTGTATCGAGGGTGGGACTCCCACCTTTCTTCCATTCGTTCTTGTATAACACAATTCCATGGTTTAGCTTGATCCCCACCATTTATGGTCGGTCATTCCCCTTGACCAAAATGCCTCTCATAATGGTAGGTCACTCCACGTACCACCTCCACCGCACAATTCCCTCTTTGTTGTCTCCTCTTTCAGAAACCATGATCCACCCTTTATTAGAGCCATAGGAGGAGACTCTTGATGGGCGAAACTACCCTCATTGAACCCCTTCCGTCCGTTCTCATTTCCCTTAGATTTGGTCAAGGGAATCCCCGTCAAATCTTGGTTAGGGTTTGTAATTGGAACCACCAGTAGAGTTTTGGATTGCATCTTAATGAGTTTCCTTAACATCTCTTCTATCCCTTTAAATCGTCTCTCCATCCGATTCTCCATAGTTAGAATCTTCTCCTCTATGTTAGATTTGAATTGCTTTATTTTGCATTTCAACGCATTCACTCTCTTTGCTGTCATCTCTCCAAAAATCTCGCTCTGATACCAATTTGATGCTCCCTTGTATGAAAAACATCAACAAACTCCTAGAGATTTATATTGATAGAAAATCAAATACGAACAAAGCAAGATACAATGATCCTCTTTCGAGAGGACCTTCTCTCCCAAACCCTAAACGCCTCTTGGATCCCGCACTAAAAACAAAACTACAACACTCTGAAATCAAATTCTTCATATAAAATATAACATAAACATTACTATTTAAAGAAAACAATAAACAATAAATTTCAAAACAGCCCTCCTCCAATTCCCTCTCAAATCAGCCCTCAAATTAGCTCTCTTCAATTAGGAAACACCTTCAAATAAATCTCTTCCAATTCAGCCCCCAAATCCGCCCTCTTTAATTAGGAAATATCTCTTAGTTAATCTCCGTCAATTTATCCCTCAAATTAGCCCCTAAATCTACCTTTTTTAATTATGAAATATTTCCTAATTAATCCTCTTCAAATCAGACTCAAAATCAGCATTCTTTCCTTATTAACTTCTCTTTTATTTAAATTTAAGTAGCATATCTTTCCCTCATTAATTCCCTCCTTAATTACTCTCATAACATAATGATTTATTACTTTGTTGGGCCCCATAAGAGAGGCCGAAATCTCCCTGGATTTGGTTTCAGGTTCCGCCCCCTCCACCGCCTGCTGGGCCAGCCTGTCCAGCCTCCCTTTGCCTGTAGCCATAACATATCACAGCGAGTGCTAGATATTGACTTGAGGTTTGAAGCAACAATACAACCCGATAAGTGTGAAAAAGCTGTTGGACTTGATGATATTCCAATAGATTTGTAAAAATATTTAGGAGATGAAGGAATTTTTTGGCTTACGAAACTTTTCAATAATATTTTGAAGAGTAAAAAGATGTCAAATGAGTGAAGAAGGATTTATGTTAATGTGTAATACTTTAAAACTTTGGAAGAGAGTTATTGAGCGTAAGTTAAGACATGATACTAATATTTCTCAAAAATCAAAATCAATTTGGATTCAGGTCGGGTAGGCCTACCATGGAAGCTATATATTTATTGAGAGGTTTGATGAACAAGTATAGGTAGAATAAGGAGGATCTATATATGATATTTATTGATTTAGATAAAGCTTATGATAAAGTTCCAATAGAAGTGCTATGGAGATTTTCATAAAAGAAAGGGGTTAATAATGTTTATACTCAAGTCATTAAGAATAAGAATGCAAGAGCTATTACTTGTGTTCAAAAATAAGGCCTACCGGCATTTTGCAAACTGACGCAGGATCTCCACCTCCTGCGTAGATCGGGCGGCCAGACTGCCCAAGCGGAGCTTTTTAGGAAGTTTTTTTGAAGGTTTTGAGAGGGAAATTTTAATGTAGGGACTGTTTAGGGATTTCTTTTTGATTTGTATGCATTAAATAGTTGGTTTTGCTAGGGTTAGGGCATCTTGAATTTGTCTGAAATTTGATCTCTCTTAGATTTATGTTTTCTTTGGGCTCTAGCGGCGTCTAGAGATTTGGGAGAGGTCAATCCTCCTCTCAAATTGAGGATCAAGTGTATCTTGCTATTTTCCATGTTCCTTTCATCAAATCATACAAATTATCTACTGTTTTTGTGATTTTGTGCGGATTATTGTGGAGAATGCTCCCTGTTTTTCGAAGATTGATACAAGTGTTTCCTATCAATCTTTTCTTTTCCGAAAATGCCAGACAGCAGCTTTCAGTGCTCTTAGATATCTGATAATGATAAAGCTTCTTTTAGTCATAAAAATTTTAAAAAGCAAAAAAAAAAAGTTACCAAACAGAAATATCAAAGTTTGCTTAATCCAGCATACAGCAATGAATAACAGATATAAAGGTACATTTTAATCGATTTGAAGATAGCTTTCCCTTTCATAATACAAAGCAACTCTCACTTTGTTCTCTGCCAAACTTTGCATTGCAGGGAGCGACCAAATATCAGATTAAGGAAAGAGAATGGTGTTACTGCACTTTATTGCCTGATGTCTCATATATGATGAACAGTCAACAAGGTTGGCAAATCATGAATAATGATGGGTAAGGTAAGCCTTTCACTCTTTGTAATCATTCTTTCCAAGCTTTTCTTCCAGCATCCCGTGCCTTCACTCCACAACTATCCTCCCTCCTTTTACTCTCTCTCTCTCTCTCTCTCTCTCTCTCGAGCGATTATCTATGCGGACACCGGACGGTCCTCCTGTCCGACATTTTTGTACCGAGTGCGGTACATTTTTGGGGGCAACATAGCTCATTTTTATTTGTCTCCAGACGAATCCG